TTGACTTTCTGGGGAAGCCAGTAAGGAAGATTAAAAATGGCAATCACATGATTGCAGGGCGCTTGGCAATTGCAAGCCAGTGCCACCTGCCCAGAGGACTCCCTCTTGTCTCTGGGGCCTGGCTGAAAAAGTTCCATACCAAAATCCAAGCAGGATTTTCAGCCATGGCAGATTTCCAGCCCCGGAATGGAGAGGCTTCGGAAGCCTCTCGACTCTGGGGCTGAAAATCCAAGAGGTTCTGAAGCCCTTGCACACCCAACCTGCATCGCGCCCCTGTGCACCTCACCAATCCTCCCACATACACCCTTGCTCTCTCCCCCACCCGGCAGTGCCTGGGGCTTGCAACTCCCTGCCTGCTTCCACATGGATCTGACTGTGGGAAGCCGGCAGGAAGTTGCCTCGCCTAATGACCAGGGCATTCACTTAACAATGGCAACCAGGACTCCCAGGATTGCAGTCACTAAGTGAAGCAGTCATGTGATAATTTGCTTAACAACCGCATCATTTAGCAACCTAAATTCCAGTCCCAATTGTGGTCATTAAGCGAGGACTACCTGTATTGCCATTTTAAATCATATTGTTTATAAAAATTGGTTGCAGGCAAAGATCACTAAACTGAGTAGTCATTTAATGACCTCATGACATACTTTGGAAGCCAGTTCCGTAGACTGGTACTACTTAATTTTATGAAGCCCCTTCAACCTTTCTTCTCAGGGAGACCATTAACAAATACTAGGGCTTCAGGCTAGATTGTTAAAAAGGTATACAGGGAAAAGGAGCAAACTATTTCCATACGCTGCCAAAAAAACTACATGGACAAAACCAAAAGGTCACTAAGAAGTGATTTCACCTCAAGAACATCTTTACTAGTAACTGACAGGTTATTTGGAAATAAACAGATTTTCCCCATATTCCCTTTTTAGGAAAGATGGTTGTCAAAGTAAATTAAAGGAGCACTTGTCATCTGAAGCACCATAAAACAGTGGTCCTTAAATATTAATGGAAATATTTCCAAATAACCTGTCAGTTACTAGTAAAGATGTTCTTGAGCTGAAATCACTTCTTAGTGACCTTTTGGTTTTGTCCATGTAGTTTTTTTGGCAGCATATGGAAATGGTTTGCTCTTTTTCCCTGTATACCTTTTTAACAATCTAGCCTGAAGCCCTAGTATTTGTTAATGGTCTCCCTTTGAGGAGCAAATGAGGTCTTGACCTCCTTAGCTTTACAGGATCAGCCAAGGCCAGCAAAGGGCTATCACCTCCTGCAAGTTCATTCAATATGAATGATTAGCAAGTATTAAGAGAATGCAAAGAAGTCTTACCTTCAGCAATAGTTAAAGGTGGGTAAGTGAGATAGAATCCCACCAGTTCTGCTGAAAGCTGATTAAGAAGGTTGCTTGACACTGTGCCATTTAAGACTGTACTTTCATTTCTCACCACATAAAACAGAGTGACAGCCTGAGAAACGTTTGATGTGTTCAGGATCTGGAAAAAATAAAACAAAACAATTACAATAAAGAAAGAGTGGATAGATTCATTTTTGTTTACTGCTATTTCCGTGTATTATTATATTAGTGCAAACATCAAGGGTAAATGTTAATCATGCCATTATTGTAAAAGACACATGCTCCTGGGTATTTTCACTCTTTGGATAGACAACCCAACCAAACACAGGCAGGAGAAAAGAGCATTTCTGTTTCAAAAACAAGAACCCATCTTGGAAGCACATCCTTTATGTTCATAATGTTGGGTCATTTGGATGCCTGTAGGTCTGTAAGAAAATGGTAATGCTTCTATCATCATATTTGGTTCTGGTCCACTTTAAATTTTAAGAACTGAGCATTCAAAACATTCAAATCCCACTGCTTCTTATCGTTTCTCCCTCCTATCTAATTTGCAGGGCTGTCAACTGTGCAAATTATAAACAATACTAGCAGGAGTAACCTTACAGATTTTGTACCATGGAAAGTAGAATCGAGAAAAAAATGGGAGAGGGAGCAGGCAGAAGTAAAAATGGTATGTTCCATGCATGGGTGAGACAATATTTCATTTCAGAGATTTCTTCCATTAGAACAAATAGGGAGTGGAGAAAGTTCAGATGGGAAATGTGTCTTATCTTTATAGTAATGCCATTTTCAACAGAGTAATATTATGCCCACAAAGTTTCCCACATGCTTTCAGTGCATAGTATGCAGGTCTAATTGCACTGACCTGCAGCAAACATCTGGGGCAGACAAGACTGCCATCCTTTTTTGATGCTCAAAGAAGAAGCAAAAGAGCACCCATAACTCTTCCTCATTTCTATTATTTTAAAAAGTGCCAAAAATATGCTATGCATTATGCATGAATTAAAGAAACCAAACAGATCCTTGCTTACAGGCACATTCTAAATGTAATTAAACTCAAACTGATTTAACACAATGAGATAAAGATCTCATCTATGATAGGAAGATGCTATTACAAGATTCTGTACTGATGGACAAAAACACCATAAGGGAGGAACAGACTGGTATCAGGGCAAATCACTATATCCTTGTCCAGTGCTGGCTTCTTTTTCCTATCTGCTTTGAGGGTCTATTATACTAAAACAGTTTAATTATAAAACAAAGTATCATACATAATACCAAAAAATGTTAAAAGTACAAATTAATAATGATATAGATAAATTGCTTATATAAATGTTATTCAAATGCAAAATTAATTATTTCCTGTTCTTTTTCTTATTTTTTCTTAATGCAATTACAAGGTTCATACTCTTTCTATACAAGGTAAACAGTTCATACCTTCTGCCAGTCAAGCTTATCAAGCCAAAATTTTGACACTTCTTTCCTTCAGCATGCCCCTGTGGATTTCTGGCTTGACCACTCAACTAGAAAGGATCCTATCTAATTTTCTTTAGATTTTTACCACCCAGTATGTAGAATATGACTACATATCTGGAAGTGAGTATATAATTAACTGAATGTAAAACCTGGAAAAATGTTTGAAATGATTATTCTTTGCGTACTGCATTGCTCCATCTAGTAACACACACTGCTCTCTGAAGCCTTCATCAATCAGTAGATAGTTTTAGGAAAAATTATGATGATGATGCATTTATATGTATAGCTTTTAGTTAGTTACAGCATTTAAAAGATTTAGCTCTCCATAAAATAAAGGGTAACTGGTTTAGCTTTACAGCCTCTGAGAAATGCAGCCAATAAGTTTTACTCTCTGCTATTCTTAAGTAACCTTTCAATAATAACTACAAATAAGGGGCTAAGACCCCTTATTCATACACCTTAACTGCTTTTAAATGTGGAACCATATTATACTCACTTACTTTAATTGCTGCCCTCTGCTTTGTGAACCGGCTGGTTAACACAATTCTATGGTTTTTGCAGATACTGAAGAGGATTTTGGTCCCCATGTTCTCTTTCTGATTTGTATAGGAAGACCAGTTTGAGTTGAATTGTCATTGTTAATTACTGTACGTGGGAGTCCTACAATAATATAGTTTTGCTTGCTTGCTTGCTTGTTAGCTAGCTAGCTAGCTAGCCTGCTTATTTATTTATTTATTTATAATATTTATATGGCTGCCCATCTTGTGGAACACAATTCTGGGAGGCTAGCAAGTAATAAAAACACAAACAAGGGGGGGAAAACTCTACCTGTATGTAAACTGTAATCAAGTGAGTTACTTTGTTACATTATTTATGCTCTTATTTTGGATTAGTATTTGTCTGACTGCAATCATCTGGTTATTTATTCAGTATTCCACTACTGGAGAAACAATAAAACTATCCACTTTGCAATTTCTTCATTATTTTTATGTCACTCTATTTGAAAGCAATTTGCTCTTGAACTGTTTTCCTCTGTGAAATACAGAGGCTTGCTGTATTTCAACCAGAGAACTGCACCATCCTATAGGATCCTCACCAAATGTCTAATTTTACTGCTTGCAAGGAACTCCAAAAACAAAAAAGGGTGGTTATGTAGCACTTTGGAAAGGCAGAATTCAGATTTGATAGCCTATGGTTCATTTGGTGGAACATACATTGCACATGCCATGTATATGGTGAGATTAGAAGAGATGGAAATTTACCCACACAACTAGTATGTCCACAGGAAAAAAAAAAAGGGCAATCTCACAGATCTAGGGAATTTGTTGTTCAGCTGGCAAATCAGGACCACCACCCCAAAATGACTAAAGTGAAATTTGGAGGAGAACCAAAATGGGACTATCAGGAGAACTCAACTGCAGTTCAGTTCAGTGCAAAAATCAGATAATTTCTCTCAAATCCTCTTCTTCGCTATTCTTAGTTTTGTTTCTTGGTGAAAATGCTGACGGGGTAGACACAGGTGACTGATATACCTGCCTTAGAATCACCAATAATAGTTCATTATTGTTCTCCAGTTACAAGTTCTCCAATCATGGAAAGGAATGCTTGCTTGGAAATGTCACTTATTCTGTTATAAACAAAATTGTTATTGGATAGTTCTTCTTTTTTGAAAAAAAATCAAAACTTAAAGAAGCTTCATTCCAAAATTTCTGGATTGGTAATTGGATAGGCTTATAATCAAGAGGACTATTTCCACTATTATCAAAGACAGTGCCTATCAAACAGTAGGAAGTAATGAATTAACAAGCCCTTTCTTGAACCATTCTAAATTTGTGCAAGTTCTCATTGCACAAAAGTCCCTGTTCCTATATATTTAGAAACTCACAATTTTTACATCAATGAACATCTATTATTAAAGAATCTTATTCTCAATCCCCTATTTATCTAAAACTGGGGAGGCCTCATCCCTTCCAAAGAACGTGTCTAAAATTCATCCTATTATTTTAAGAAGTAAAAAAGTGACAGCTATTTGTTTGTTTCCCAAATCAGTGAAAAAACTTAAATAGTGTATTTCTTAGTCTTTTTTTTAATGCAGAATCCAGCTCAAATCTCAAACTCTTTGATCTGTCAGAGCAGACACACAGTATTCCTTATAGTCAATCAACAGTATTTCTTTGACTCCAAAAAAAAGTGGCATATTGAACTGAAAGCATGAGGGACATATAGAAATGAAATACAGTTTTCTATAAGAATGTCCAACTTATGTTTATATATATGTGGAAGTAAGATTCTATACATAAATGCCCCAATGCATTGAAAATCACATTTATGTGCCTCTGTATTTTTATTGGAGGCAATATATTTAAGTTACAACCTAAATACTGTGCTCTTCAATGAGAAGTGCCAATAAAATTATTTTTGCTATTTATAACAATACTATTTAGAAAATAAACTCGATCTATAAGGTCTCTCTTTCTAATGTGTACAGGCACCAAGAGAGAGATTTAGCAAGTAATTCTACAGAAGATTAACTTGTAACAAACATTCAGTGCTTTTAATGTACTGGAAGTGGCAGCCTGGTATAGTTGTTAAGGCGTTGGACAAGAAATAGAAATTAGCCCATTCTCAACCATGAGATTTCACTGGGTAACTCTGGGCTGGTCATGCTCTCTCAGCCCAACCTACCCCACAGAGTTGCTGTTGGGAAAAATAGGAAGAGGGAGCATTATGCATGCTGCCTTGAGCTCCTGTACAAAAAAAAGGGCAGGATATAAATCTAGTAAGAAAATGAATAATGATAATAAATGAATGATAATGAAATAAATGAATAATAAATGACAACTAAGCCATCATATGAAGCATGAATTTTCTCCTGATAAATGGTAATTATAAATGGGAGCATTGAAGATGTTACCTAGCTGGGTAACAAAACATTTGCAAGAAAACAACCAAGCTCAGAGAACCCCAAAGACTCCACAGTTCAACCCTGAGCCTCTATTGGTAATTATAAAATATATTTAGATTGGCCATCCAGTTATACTGATAACAATATGATCAAAATTAACCCTGCAAAAAAAATCATCTGTAATACACAGTAATCGTTTGATAAAGATAAGAACTTTTACCTGAACACTTAACTTGCTAGTGGTATTCAAGGCCTTCCTCTCAGCGTCTTGAAATGCTTTCTGCAATCTCTGTTCCATAGTCTGAACAAATCTGCATGACTGTATGTTGTCTGATTGATCCACAAACTGCAATTCTAGATGAAGAAGAGCCATTGTGTTTAGTGAATATGTATTTTCTATTTGCCTTGTCAAAACCTGAAACTGTACACATACCTAAAAGAATAAAGTTTCCTTCAAGTCAAACTCTACTCCTGGTGACTTCGTGGACACAACCAGCTAATTTTCTTGCAACAGTACAGAAGCAATTTGCCATTTCCTTCTCCTGGGATGATTTTTACTTCCCTGTGTAGCCTACACCCTGATTTTCCATCAAGATCTCCCAACCATGCTTAGCTTCCAAGCCCAGACAAGATCAGCTACATAACTGCCACCTATTAAAACACACTCACACTAATCAGGATTAAGCCCGCTGAATTCAAAACTTACTTCTAAATAAACATGCACATGAGAGCATTAAATAAATACAAGTACTTCTCACTTAATGACCATTCATTCAGCGACTGTTCAAAGTTAGGGCAGCGCTGAACAAACGGTAGTTATGGCTAGTCCTCAAAGTTCCATCCACTGTAGCACCCCCACAGTCACATGATCACAATCCTGGTGCTCAGGTGCCCAGCTCACAATTACAACGTCGCAGGGAGCCGGAGTCACGTGATCACTATTTTCAACCTTCCCTGCCAGCTTCCCACAGGTAAAGTCAATGGGGAAACTGGCAGGAAAGGTCACAATTTGCTCCTGCTGTTTCTCCTGCCTGCAGCATCCCTGCCCACGCACAGCTTCTATCAGCCCTCCCTGGCCTTCCCCCAACCTCCTGCAGCTCACGCAGTCTGCGCCACCCCTTCCTCAGCTTCTCACAACTTGCGTGCAACCTGTGCCAGCCCTCCCAGCCCCTCCCATGGCACCCCCGCACTCCTTACCTGGGACTCCTGCCTCTTTCTGCTTAATGACTTGTGCATCTTGGGGTTACAATGGCAACCAGGACTGCCCGGGATTGCTGTCACTAAGTGATGCAGTCACATGACATTGCGCTTTATAACTGTATCACTTAACGACAGCAATCCCAGTCCCAATTGCTGTCATAACCCAAGGACTACCTGTAATGCTAACAGTATGAGATACAATGTTTCTATTTAAAGTAAATCAATTCCAATCCAGCTAATTATGATAGACACATTCAGTACTATTGTCTGAATTTTTCTTTTTTCTTCCTTCCCCTCCAACTCTTTTGCTTTCTGTGTCATCTTTTTAAATGGTAAATGTAGAACAGAGACTCTTAATACTGGTATTTGTTAACTACTCTGCGAACCTTTTTGAAGAGTGGTTAACAAACTTTTTTAAAGAGTAGAACAAAAATGTTTGATATAATTAAGGTAATAACAAAAATCAAATGTTGTAACACATATAAAAACAGTGCTTTGTTGCTTCAGACCTATTATTTTAAAACAAATTTAAGCAAATTCTATTAGCTAATTCATTATTACAATTAAATTAGCTAATTTTATCTAATTAAACTCCACTCTCTTAATTTTCAAGGGGCAGATTGACCCAATTGTTCTCAAATACCAAGCCTCAAGAAGAACAAGCCTTAAACAGGGAAGGGAGGAATCTCCACTTCTAATACATTTCAACTACTGGAGCACAATCTATCCTTTGGGCCAAATTTAGTTCCCTGCTCCAATTTAGAAGAACCTGGGCTGTACAGAGACCCTGTTCTTATCACTGGAATTTGTAGCTGTATTAACAGATATAACCCTATTACCTCAGAGTTTGTACATTAGAGATGACTTGCCTGTTTTCAGCTGAAAATGGTACGCTGGCAGTGGGTTCCATGGCAAGGCTAACACAGCAACAGAATGAAGATTTGGCACATGTTTCCTAATATCTAAAGTGGCATTAGTAACACCATAAGCAATTAGCATTTCGATAACCACAGTAGGTATGAAAACCAGTCTGTCCTGAGTAACATAGTAACCAACTGTCACGTTGTTTGACTGTTCCAGAATTTCTATCTGAAAAAAAGAAGCAGATGGAAAAATGGCATTTCATCTTCTTCACAATGAATAGTTTTGATTCAGATAACTCAGAGAACTGTATGACTCTTCTGTTCAATGAAGTAAAAACATTAAAATGTTAGTCTCAAAGAAATGATCAAGACAAATTGCCCCTTCAATAAAATTATGAATAATTAAAAATGTTTTCTTAAAGTAACAGACTCACTGAAGAATGAGCATAAAGTGAAAAGAACTTGGCTTTATGGTGACCTGTCTTACTTTAAATGGATTATACTCTTTGTTGACCTAGTATGCATTAGTCCTATATTAATAAACTATACACCGGTTCCAGTGTCTTGGAAAAATGCAAGTTGCTATAGCAAAATATATATGACAAGTTCCTTGGTTCTATCTTATACCATATACAAATATGAAATTAGAGCTGGCCTTACTAAGGCAGTGGAACATTTTTTCTGATACATAATGAAATGTTAACTATGCAGTCCACAAATCAATTCAAACCACCACTTCTTTATAAGAAATGGAAGAGATTTTAAAATAAAGCCTTACAGTCACTTCCTCATCATTGAAAACACTGCTGGCTTGGACAACACCAACTTCACTGAGGCTAGATCAAGGAAAATTAACATTAAAACAATGGATTTTAGATTCAGAAGGTCACTTCGAATTTGCCATTTGTCCCCATGATACATTTACAAATAATCAACTTCCAGATTTCAAACCAGCTCCATATCTCTATCAAATTTCAGCATCCAAATCTAGAACAGTTCTCACTCTGCCCCATTTCAATGTGCAGTTTTGGATTGATTACTCTTCTCTAGGTAAGAGAATTCCTGGGCACTCTGATATGTTTTATTTGTACTATTTATTTATTTTTATTTATTTATGCATCACATTTATATAACCGCCCATCTCACAAAATGGCTCTGGGCAGTACAATAATTAAAATAAAATAACAAGTGAATAAAAACAGATATTATAAAAAGATAAAAAGTTATTATTAGAATAAAAAAAGTATCACAAATTTTTTAAAAATTTAAAAAGATTTAAAATATACAAACCCCACAGAGAGAGTAGAATATCAATTACAGTGGAGCCATCTAAGAATGTCATTTATCCTGATCTTCCAAATGCTTCAACTTTAGAAAAATTTCAATTTGGCACATATGCTTGCTGCTGTAC